CCTATGCTGTACTCCCTCGAAGTCCAATATATCCTTTCTAAGGTGTAGTGCCCCATTCTGCTCAGAGTACTTGAAGTGGATCTAACCAGAATTTTGTATAATTGCAGCATAATGTCTGCATTCTTGTACTCCAGTCTTCTAGATATAAAGACCAACATTCCCCATTGGTTTTCTTGATTATTCTGTGATTATGCTTATGCGGATGGCAAATATTGTAGGTTAACTGAGACCTTGCGGGGAGACAGTCAGTCTGACAGGGAGAAGTAAGAATTTGAACTAGATATTGGACTGTGTTTTCTGGGAGAACGTTTCTGGCTGTGATGGCATGAAGACTTGAAAGCTTCCTGTCTAATCTTCCATTATCTACTATTGGAAATTCAGTGAATAGAAATTGACATAAGTATCACTGACATCTTGAAAACTACTTAGGTAATTGGCCAGTTTTGTGATTTTCTTTTATTTGTCCTTTATCTCTGTTTGTTTGTCTGTCTGTCTTTTGTGTGAATGGGGCTGAAAACAAAAGCGATTAGGTTTAAATCATAAGTTTAAATCTAAAGTGTTTTGTTTAAGCTATAGACCCAGTGATTAGAATTGATTAATTGCAGATTCTGAGATTGGTTTTTCAAAAATCTGGTTAGGAATTTTTGGGGTGAATTTTGACACTCTTGGAAAACCTTCATTTTACTGTGTTGCAAATTGAGGTAGAAAGCCTAATTTAGTTTGGCTGTCTTTCTCTGTGTCATAACAATTAATATGCAGGTACAGCAAGCGAAGTAATTAGGAAAGCTCATTGAATGCCACTGTTTCTTGCAAGGAGACTTGAACAGAAAAGTAATGAGATAATGCTTCTGTTGTACAGGGAATTTGACAGATGAGATCTGAAATACAATGTGCCTAATTGGTCTCCTTATTTAATTAAAGATGAAAAGTCATTGGAAACACTTCAGAGAAAGTTCAGCAGACTAATAACTGAAATAGGCAAGTTGCCTAAGAAGGAAAGGTTGGACAGGCTGGACTTGTATTTTCTGGAGCTCAGAACAGCAAGAGGTGACTGGATTGAAACATGTAAGATCCTGAAGGGTCTTGACAGGATGGATATGGAGACAATGTTTCCTCTTGTGGGGCAATCTAAAACAAGGTCTGTTTAAAAATGAAGGGCCACCCATTTAAGAGAGAGATAAGGAGGGATATTTTCTTCTGGAGGGTTTTAGGAATTTACTGAAGATCATAAGATATACAAGCAGAAGTTGGCCACTCATCACATTGACTCTGCTCTGCCATTTAACAAGATCATGGCTGAACTGATAATCCTCAACTCCAAATTCCTGTCTTTTCCCCAGTACATAATACTCAATGTATTCCTATGGAGACTGTTTCAATGTCTTGTTTATGATCGGGGATTCACGCATTCATTCCAATGCTTGAATATCTGAGTTTATAAATGAGTGTCAAAATCATATATTGTTCCTGCTGTGGAGCTGGAGAAATATAGCAGGCCAGGTCGCATCTGATGCTGCCTGGCCTGCTGTGTTCCTCCAGTTCCACTGTGCTTTCTCTGATTCCAGCATCGGCAATTCTTACTATCTCTATTGTTGTTCCTGCAGTCCGCTTTTCCATCAATTTCCTTCTTTCTGGTGGTTAATGGAAAGTCCATGCAGAAAGCTTTTAATATACTTTGTTTCACAGCTTTATCATTGCACAGATAGTCTACCCAGCATTCCCCTATCCCCATAGTAGGAGATCAGGGCGCAGTCGCGAAAACTGTGCGGAATATGCTACGGCGCATAATGGCGATAATGCGGCAGTTTTCTTCATGGGGTAAGAACGGGCGGTGGGGGATAGAGGAAACGATGGATTCGGCGAGTGAACCGGGAGGGTTCATAACAATACTCTGTGAGCGGCTAACCCGCAAAAAGAACTTTTCGACCCCCCATTTGCACAAATTGGGGTTGCAGCTCGTAGTGTTAGGCCTCAGTCAATGGCCGCCATCTTTATCGGGGGCAAAGGGCAATGTGGCGCATGCGCCGTCGCCACCTTTGGTGGGGGCTTGGACGGTGGGCAGGCCACCATTTTATTGGGACAATCTGCCGAAGGAGAGGGAGGGACTTCCTCATCATGGTTTAAAATGGCAACTACCTGTACATCAAACCGTATCACTGTTTGAGTCCCAGCATCTCAATGATGAGGGGACGTGGCAGCACGGACAGAAAGAAGAGGCCAATCCTGCATTCCGGACCCCACCTCCTTGTGCCCTGTCCCATGTCTCCAAGGCACAAAAACAGAAGTTGCTGGAAAAGCTCAGCAGGTCTGGCAGCATCTGTGGAGAGAAATCGGAGTTAACGTTTCGGGTCCGGTGACCCTTCCTCAGAACTTATGGTAGCGAGGAAAATGTCGGTTTATATGCAGAAGATAGGGTGAGGGTAGGGGGTAAGGAGTAAACGATAGGTGGGGTATGAGCCCAAAGAGAGAGAAGAGCAGTTGGACAGACAAAGGAGAAGGTAACGATCTGGCTCGGAGGATGACTAGCTATTAATGGTAGACAAGCAGAAGGCTGGAAGAGCACCTCAAGCCAGGCAGCACTGTTCTCTGGGGCAGGAGCAGGCAGAAACAATGGGTATGCCCGGCAATCCTGCTTATGGATTTTGGGAAGGAGGTAGAAGCGAGCTGTACGGGTCTGGGGACTATCATCTTGGAGGAGGGGGGAATCACTGGATGAAATAAGGTTGGTGACCATAGTTTACACAATGACCCAATGTTCATTCATGAGGTTGTGGCCCAGGAGGTGATAGGAAGAGCTATCTGAGAGCTGGCACTCAGCCTCTGCAATGTAGAGGTCATTTTGCCAGACTGAAACAGCACCACTCTTATCAGTAGACTTAATTACAAAGTCAGGGTTGGCTCTGACAGCATGGAGTGCAGTCAGTTCCTAGGAGGATAGGTTGGAATGGGTGAGGGGAGACAGAGAAATTGAGGCAACCAATGTCATTTTGACAATTCTCAACGAGCAGGTTGAGTGCTGGTAAAAGGCCAGAGAGAGGGAGAGTATTGGAGGTCGGTGAAGGGGGAGTGGTCTCTTGTCTAAAGAAATGGGCACGGAAGCGAAGGTGACAGTAGAAGAGTTCAACGTCACGTTGTGCCCAAAATTCATTATGGTGGAGACGCAGAGGGATAAAACTGAGACAGTTGCTGAGCACAGAACATTCAGCATCGGAGAACGGATGTTCAAGAATGAATACATGACAGATGGTGGGGTTGGGGGTGGGGATAGAGTTGGAGGGGAGGAGAGGTAGGTTCCGGAGCAACATGCGTATCTCTGAGTTGTTGCATCTTGTCTCCAAGGGTCTGTTCAGTCACATGAAGACCCAACTCACTGACCTGAGTTGACAGCGTCCCCAAATTGAGGGACTGCAAATGATGTTGAAGGGCAATGTGCAACAGGGCACATTCTCGCCCATCCGGGGCCTGGAAGTGTGTGGAGAGAATGCTTTCAGCTTCTATGTTGGACTAACATGATGGCTTTTGAAAAAGATATTTACAGGGGGTTAGAAGAGGATTGACAGATGGGATATTCAAACTAAACAGCACATCAAAAGCTGAGAGAATCTCTCAATTCATCAGGACCTAGATATTATCGACTTCTGAGTGCAAGCATTGAATTCCACATAGTTATGACTCACTGCATCTTATATCAGTTATTCCTTCACTGTTGCTGGGTCAAAATCCTGGAACTCCCTCTCTAACAGCATTGCAGATGTACTTGCACCAAATGGACTCCAGCAGTTCATGAAGGCAGCTTACCGGCACCTTCTCAAGTGCAACTAGGGGTGGGCAATAAATGCTGGCCCAGCCAGTGATGCCCACTTCCCATGAATTAATAATAAAAATAATTCTGTCTGTATATATCTAGCTAATATCTTAAATCTGTGATCCGTAATAATAAGTTAAGGTGAACTTGTTTTCTATATTTACTCTTATTTAAAGGTATCATAAACTTGTATACCTCATTCATATCTGCCACTTGGTCTTTTTTCCAGAGATAACAGCCTAGGTTTCTCCAACCTCACTTTCTGAGTCCATGTTTACCAACTAATTTGTTCCACGTCTGAACTCCCTGATCACCTTTCTGTCAGTATCACTTTCTCTGTCTCTAATCATGAGTTATAATCCATTTCTTTTCTCCTCCTGAGCTTGTATTTACCATCAATGGGCTCTTTGGTGCAATAGTAATGTCCCTCCCTCTGGGTCTAGAGGCTGGATTCATGTCCCACCTGCTGTAGAGGTCATAGAATCCCTTGAGTATGGAAACAGGCCATTCGGCCCAACATGTCCACACTGGCCTTCAAACATCCCACCCAGAACCATCCCCTTATAACCCACCTAATCTAGGCATCCCTGAACACTATGGGCAATCCACCTAGCCTGCACATCTTTGGACTGTGGGAGGAAACCCACGCAGACAAGGTGCAAACTCCACACAGACAGTTGCCCGAGGGTGGAATCGAATCCGGGTTTCTGGTGCTGTGAGGCAGCAGTGCCAACCACTGCACCACCATGCTGCCCTTGACAGGCACTTTAGCTCCGAAATTAACAGCCAATACGCAGCTAGACATGGGTGGGGATCAAACCCATGATCTTTGGTTTATGAGACCAACGCCTTCCCACTTGGCCACCACACCCTGCTTTGTGTAATAACATCTCTGACCAGGTTAAGAACAATCTATAATGACCATCAAATCCTGCACTTTTTATCACCAGTTTTTTTCACTGTTTCAAGATTTATAGGTGTCACTGACTGGGCTAGCAACCCTAAATGCTGGAAGGTGAGTCATGAACTGTTCATTGAGTTGCTGCTTTCCAAATGTTATAGGTATACCCAGACCTATTAGGAAGGATGTTCCCTGTATTTTGACCCAGAGACAGTAAAGGAATGGCAATATAGGTCTATGTAAGGATGGTGTGTGGCTTGGAAGGGAACTTGCAGGGGTTGCTGTTTCCATGTATCTGCTGCTCTTGACCTTTTAGGTGGTAAAGGTTGTAGTTTTGGAAGGTGTTGATAAACTTGTTGAATTATTCTAGTGTATCTTGTGGATGGTACACACTTTGCCAGTGCTGAGAGTGGTGAATTTTGACTGTGTCAGATGAGGTGCCAAATATACACTGTTTTGTCCTGATGGATAGTTGCTTGAATGTTGTTGGGGCTGCACTAATCAAGGCAAGTGCACAGTATTCCATCACATGCCACATTACAGATAGACAGGCGCTGGGGAATCAAGAGGAGGTGAGGACCTTGCTGAAAAATTCCCAGCCTTTGAACCTTCTATCATCATCACAGAATTTATACAGATATTCCAATTCAGTTTCTGCTGAACGGTAATGCCCTTCCCTCTCCACCTCCCTCACCCTGTACACGCACACAAGGATATGGATAGTAGGGGATTCAGCAATGGTATTGCCATTGAATGTCAAGGGTCAATGGTTAGATTCTCTCAGCAGAGTTACAGTTTGGCATTTGTGTGGCATGAATGTTACTTGATTCCTAGTTTTCAGAGCCATCCCTTTTTTCACCGAATCACAGAGTAATTGAATGATTACAATTCAGGAGGAGGACTTTCAGCCTTTTGTGCACATGCTGGCTCTCTACAAGAGCCAATCAGATCATTCCAATACCCTGCACGATCCTTAATAAGATCAGAATATAGCACCACTCCCTGATCGCCTACGGAAAAGTTGATGTTTAACTTCTTGAACCACTGCATCTTTGTGATGAAGCTACTCCCACACTGCTGTTGGGTGAGGAATTACGGGTTATTCACCCATGGCCAGATATATCCAAGTGAATGGTCGGAGGGTAGGTTTTAAGGAGTTTACTAAGGAAGTAGAGTGATTACACGAGTGGAAAGATTTAAGGAGTCAGTTTGACACCATATGGCCCAGACAGTTGAAAGAACAATCAACAAAGCTGGTGCTCAAGCCAACATTAGAGAGGAGTGCAGATATTTCAGAGGATTGATAGATTGGAGGAGATTAAACAGATACGGAGGGGCGAGACTTGGACGGTTTCTGAAAACCAGCATGAGAATTTGAGGTGCTTCTGAAAAGGATGCCTTCGTAGGTCAGCAAGCACAGGGATGAAGCACATTGGCAGCTGACGTTGAACATGGGAGGTTGGCAGAGTGTCCATTAGAATGGTTAAGTATATAATCATAGAATCCCTACAGTGTGGAAGCAGACCATTCGGCCCATCAAGTCCACACAGACCCTACGAAGAGCACCCCACCCAAATGCACCCCCTACCCTCTCCCTGTGACCCTGGATTTCCCAGGGCCAATCCACCTAACATCTTTGGCCTGTGGGAGGAAACCCACAGGAGAATGTGCAAACTACACACAGTCACCCGAGGGTGGAGTCGAAACCAGATCCGTGGTGCAGTGAGGAAGCCTTGCCAACTACTGAGCCACCATGCTGCCCAAAGGAATGGGTGAGCAGTTCAGCAGAAGTTAAGTTGAGACTAGGTTGGTGTCAGAAAGGGTGGAATTGGGTGGTCTTCATGATGATGTGGATAATGTGGTTGACAACTCATCCTGATCTGACAGTTTTATATGTGGTTGTGAACAGTCTGTTTCACCCTCAGACAGTTGCCAGGGCAAGGGATGGAGTCAGTGACTCAAGAATAGAGTTTGTAGAGGGGACTGAAGACAGCAACTTTGTTGTTCCCAATATTTCAATGGAGGTGTGACTTTGAAAGAACTCAGAGGTGATGGTGTTCACATCTACTTGTTACGCTTGTAGAGAGTTTGAAGGTTTGGGAGATTCTGTCAAAGTTCTGGTTGAGTTGAGGGATATGAATGTCCTCATGCATGAATCACAGAAATCTAATATGCAGATATATCAGGTAGTAGGGAAGGCAAATGACATTTTGGCATTTATTGCTTAAGAAATAGAGTATAAAAATAGGAAAGTGTTGCTGAAAATGCAGGAGGCAATTGTGAGACCGCGTGCAGAGCGCTATGTACAGTTTTTGTCTCCTTACTTGAGGAATGGTTAATTGCATTGGGGGCCAGAAAAAGTTCACTAGATTAACTCCAGAGACAAAAGGCTGGTCTTATAAGGAGAAATTGAGCAGTTTAGGCCCATACTCACTAGAGTTTAGAAGAATGAGAGGAGATCTAATTGAGGTGCACAAGATGCTAAAGGAAATTGACAAAGTCGACTTGGAATGAATGTGTCCCCTTCTGGGGCAGTCTAGAATGAGAGGTCATAGTCTTAGAAAAAGGGGCGGCACATTTGAAATAGAAATGATGAGGAATTACTTCTCTCAAAAGGTCATGAATCTGTGGAATTCACAACCTCTGAGTGCAGTGGACACTTGGACATTGAATAAATCTAAGGAAGAAACAGACAGATTTTTAATTAGTAATGGGTTGAAGGTTTACAGAGAGCAGGCAGGAACGTGGAGTTCAGGCCAAGATGAGATCAGCCACAATCATATTAAATGGTGGAGCAGGCTGACTGAATTGCCTACTGCTGCTCCTAGTTGTTTTGTTCTTTCTCCTCATGCCAACCCTGCGAACGAACAGATTCTATCTGCACAATTTCACAACCGGCCTTTGTGAGGATGCTCTCACTCCATGTTCTCTGTTTTGAATCACTTTCACAGGATAATGAAAGTGGAGGAAGTGCAGTCAGGAAACTCAAACCAAACATCACACCAGGATCTGACAGTTACTCAAATTATCACAATCTGAATATCATTGGATTTTGCACATGGAAGCGAAGAACACCAACCACAGTGGGGGGAAACTAAACATGTATTCTGTGTTCAGCCAGTCAACCGGAATGTCAAGGCACAAATGTTTTGGGAAGCCATAGAAATGTGGGAACTGAGAGAAGGAATTCAGTTACTCATCTGAGCAGGAATCTCACAGGCGCAGTCACTCTGGAGAGAAGTTATTCACCAGCTCCAAGCGTGGGAAGCAATACATGCAGTTGTCCTCTCTGCTGGGTCACCAATGAATTTACAGTGAAGATAGATCGTTCAAATGACCAGATTGTGGGAGCTCCCATAAAAGTTTTGGGGAACTGATGTCTCATCAATCTGTTCACACTGACGAGAGACCATTCAGGTCCTCTCATTGCAGGCAATCGTCTGAACTCATTGTTCACAAGCGAACTCAAACTGGGGAGAGACCATTTACCTGCTCAGAGTGTGGGAAGGGATTCACTCAGTCGTCCACCCTGCTGAGACACCAGCAACTTCACACTGGGGAGAGACCATTCACCTGCTCCGAGTGTGGAAAGGGATACACTCAGCCATCGGAACTTACTCTACACCAGCGAATTCACACTGGTGAGAGACCATTCACATGCTCTGTGTGTGGGAAGGGATTCACTCAGTCATCAACCCTGTTGAGACACCAGCGAGTTCACACCGGGGAAAGACCGTTTACCTGCTCGGAGTGTGGGAGGGGATTCACTCAGTCATCTGACCTACTAATACACCAGCGAGTTCACACTAAGGAGAAACCATTCACCTGTTCAGAGTGTGGGAAGGGATTCACTCATTCATCCACCCTGCTGATACACCAGCGAGTTCACACTGGGGAGAAACCATTCACCTGCTCTGATTGTGGGAAGGCATTCACTCGGTCATCCTACCTGTTGACACACCAGCGCATTCACACCGGGGAAAGACCATTCACTTGCTCCAAGTGTGAGAAGAGATTCACTCGGTTATCCAACTTGCTGACACACCAGCGAGTTCACACTGGGGAGCGACCGTACATCTGCCCAGAGTGTGGAAAGGGATTCACTGATGCATCCAACTTACTGAGTCACCAGCGAGTTCATACTGGCGACAGACCTTTCAAATGCACAGACTGTGGGAAGTGCTTTCAGTGTTCTAGGGACTTGACACGCCATCAACGTGTTCACACTGATGAGAAGCCATTCAGATGTTCTCACTGTGGAGCTGGGTTCAGGCGATCATCTAACCTCACTGTACACCAGCGAATTCACACTGGGGAGAGGCCGTTCACCTGCTCCCAGTGTGCAAAGGCATTCACTCACTCAACTGCCCTGCTGAGACACCAGCGAGTTCATGAATAACTGCAGTGTTTAGAATTTGCGGTTAATCATGTCCAAGCTAAACTGTGTTCATTGGAGTCCATTTCTGTTCATGTTAATAAATTCCAGTCGTTATAAGGATTAATACGCTGGATAAAAGTCAAACACATTTGGCTTGGTGTTAGACCCACAGTGTGTCGAATCTTTGTAATATCTCTTTAGTTGCTCTTGAAGGGCACTTCTCCCTATGTTCTCCATCTTCACCTCCACCAATAATTGTGAGGAGCTCATGGACTCTGTCAGAAAGATTGAGCCCATCCGATAGCGATCTCTGCTGCTATCCTTCCTCTGACCCAAAGGGCCAAAATTGCCTGTAAACTCAAAGCTTTCTCCAACCAACCTTCAGCCACACTAGCCAGTCCACACTGGATGGAGATGGTTTGGATTCTCTGATGGTGCAGCTGTGCACCCATTTGTCTGCTCTAGAAGTCAGTGATTGTCCAACCGACATCAGCACCAAGTTCACGCTAGGGAGAGATTTGCCTTTTTTAAAATTTGATTTATTGTTGTCACGTACCTAAGTATTGTGAAAAATTTTGTTTTGTGAGCAGTACGTACCAGATCATGTTGCATAAGGACATACAGATCATAGGGTGTTTAGCCTGCATCGTGTGGGGGACAGAATTCATTTATGTGACTATCCTGCTGGCACATCAGTTAGTTCACACAGATGAAAGACCTTTTAAAATCAGGATTTCAGGATGGGTTAAAAACTCTCCATAGAGCCGATTTGATATTAATGCATTCACACTGACAAGAGACTGTTCAGCTACTCCCACTAAAGGACTGAGCTCAGGGGATTGTGTGATATCAGTATCCACCAACATTTTCACATTGGGGAGAGAACATTCACCTGTTCTATGTACCCAGTCGTCCCACCTCCAAACACTTGACCACACTTTTTTTTTTTGAAAAAGGTTTTCAATGTTCTGTAAGCAAACGTTTAAAAGTAAAATGGACTAGCTGACATAGTAACATATCCACACAGGCTGTTCATATGCTCCATGCGCAGGAAGAGGTTTACTCAGTCATCTTAGCTCCTGGCACAACACTATGTGACTACAGGGGTTGTATTCTGCTGTTACTGGTGCTGTTCATCACATCATGTTTATTTTTACAGTTTGAATTGGCTTCTGTTGATGTTAATAATTCCAGTAACTGGGCTGGAGTTCAGCATCTGGATAAATGTCAAATCAATAATCTTTGGTGTAAACACAGTATTTTTGGAATTTAGTCTTCTGCAGCTATTGTTTCAGGCTATTCTGGTGGTAGGATTGTAAAGCAGGAACAGAATTTAAGCCTGGACACTGTCTTAGACCGCCATGTTGAGAGTGACAAATGCCATTTTAGTCTTTCTCATCTGTCTTTGCTGACAGAAAGGTCCCGCTCTGAGTTAATCCTGAGGTATATAAGAAAAATGTTCCAGCTGCTCTGGTTCAGATTCTAGACACAGAAAGAAGCTCCTTTACAGTTGTAAAGTCCAGAAGAACAAGGTGAATGCTAGAAACAGGCTGTCAAATCAGTGATCCGATGATGGCAAGACAGTGATCTGTTCCTAACTGAAAGTTAAACAGCAAATGTTTCCAATCTGAAAATAACTGTGGTGCTATAGTGTGCAGAGATTATGTAATAAAATTTTGCAAAATAAAACTGTTCTTTTTAAAAACTGAACACAGTGGACCATTAGCTGGGTTGCTAAGGGGCATCTGATTTTTACAACTACAGTGAATGTAAAGTTCCAGAAAGCTTGCAAGTGGATTACAAAGAGAGGCTTTCAAAACATGAAGAACTTTGAAATTCAGTGAGCATTTCCATGAGGGTAAACGAAAAACTCATTGTCTCGATGGTTTCTCTTCAAAGGCAAAGGTATTAACTTGTAAGGACTTTTTAAGGTGTGAAAAGCCTTAGCCTCTTTGAAATTTGTAGAGATTCAATACAGGAATCAGATTATGACATGCTTGATTTGGAAACATGATATGATATTCTGGGTTGCCTATCAAAGCTATTGAAAAGACAGGAAAAGCTGCCTGTACTGAGGGGAGGCGATAATGGTACAATTGCTAGACAATTAATCCAGAGACCCAGGTAATGATGGAGGGGGGGTGCGCAATTCCATGCCAGCAAAGCCCACATCCCATGAATGAATAAAATTTAAAAAAAAAACTTGAAAATCACGAGATGGACATCTTGAAACCTCTTCAGAGAAACAGCTCGGATCCAGTGATTGAATTTATTGTAATTAACAGACAGCCACAGCCACACATGCAGTGCCATAAATGCAAAAACAAGACATTGGTCACATCTTGTTCCAACTGCTAAGCTTACCTGTGAAAGCAAATTCATGCAATCTGATGCTGGAAGCCATCATACCTGCTGATGCAATCCTGAAATTTTCAGACATTCACTTCAGAGACACTGCACTTAATTCAAAACACTAGACCTGAATCAAGCAACTGATTCACTTCAATTCACATTTGTGCATGCGTGTATGTAGATTGTATAATTTGCTCATTAAATAACCTTCAGAGCAAGAGTGTGAAATAAACTATTTTTAAGCACAAAAGGCTTTGTTGCTGGATTATATTAAATTGATGTGCTCAATGGCAGGAAATGTACACGCCTATGTAAAAATACATTGTTCATGTGTGACAATGTTTTAAGCAGTTCCAATAGTGACTTTATACTGTATCCACCATTTTAATGCAGATGTTAACTCATAACTTGCTTGAAGTTTGCATTAATATAGCAGGAGGTTGTGTTAACAACTGTTTGGTGCAAATAAACATTTCTTCAGCCACATCATGAACTCCAAATAGCCTGGGCCATTGAAATTCATGTTGTGTATGATGGGATCTTGAGAGCACTTGGTTTTACCATCAAAGTTGAACCTCCTCCACCCCCAAACTCTCAAATCAACAGATGAAGTGTACACAATGATTAAAAAAAAGACATCCCACTGGCAGTACACTACTGTGAGCTGTACTCCCACAAAATCGACATCTTCCAGTCTGTAGTTAAGGCTTACCTACCTGGAAAAGATCAATTTATCCCTAAGCTCTGCTTCCTGTTAGCTAGTCAGACATTTACCTGCAGGAATATGTTACTTATTAAGCCATATGTTCTTGTGCAGTAACTTTTGATGCAGCACTTTGTATCAAATACCTTTTGAAACGTCATCACATTTATTTTAGATACACAGTTGCATTGCCTTAGCCTCCAGGGCTAAGGGCCAGTAGCTCGAAAATAGGATTGGCATTATACAAAGAACTGCAGATGCTGGAAATCTGAAACAAAAACAGAAATTGCTGGAGAAACTCAGCAAGTCAGGCAGTGTCTATGGAGAGAAAGCAGAGCTAATGTTTCAGGTCTAGTGACCCTTCTTCCATTCTGAAGGATCACTGGACCCAAAACGTTAACTCTGCTTTCTCTCCACAGATCTGCTGAGTTTCTCCAGTCATTAGTTTTTTGTTCCTTTGTAATTTCCAAAATTTTGTGATTTCCAAAAGACAGTCGTTAGGCCAAGTGTCCTGTTGTTTCCTGTTTTCTTCCTCCCTCCTTTCTTGAATAATGGCAATGTTGGCTATTTTCCAAACTGGAACATTGGATGATTATAACCAATGCATCTACTGTCTGCTGCAACTTCCTTTAAGATGTTAGGACGTTGGTCATCTGCTGATGGGGATTTGTCTGTTTTAGGAGATTGTTAGACCTAGTGTCTTTTCCCTGATGACTGATTATTTTAAATACCTCCCTCATATTAATTTCAAAATCATCCAAAGTAAAGAGTCACAAAATATTTGTTCAACACCTCTGCTATTTTCTTGATCTCCATTATCAAACTGCCTATTTTCATTTTCTAGAGGACCAACACCAGCTTTATTTACTCTTTTCCTCTTGCAGAGTTTTGCAGTATTTGAATTTGATACTAACCTTAACTTCCTTATTTAGCCACAGACGATGCATTCTTATCAAAGAGAATTTCTAAATGGAATAATTCTTTGCTGAGTGTTTTTAATGTAGTTCCTTAAAAGGCTGCTGTTGTATTGTTATGTACTACATTAATCATGCCCCAGTTTACTTTAGCTAGTTCTGCCTTTAAATTCTTATATTTGCCTTCATTCCAGTTTAGAAGAACATCTGAGATTCACACCTTCTTCCTTTCAACCTGCAAGGGATAGATTTTAGAGGTTATCTCTCCTATTTCCATTGGAAGTTCATGAAGTCATTTCTTGGCTAATCGCTTGCCAAGACATCCTGATTAAACTGCACTCAGACACTATTGGGTTTTACATGGATTGTGATACTCCCACATACTATCAAGTTTGTCTTGTGTCAGGGTCTGTGCAAGAGACATGTCCTTGCCAGAGGTAGCAAACCCAAGAGTGTAAACCTGCTACAACAAGAAATATTTTTCATAAGTAAAGATGGGGAGGAGGGGGGTTGGGAGCTTTTCCTTATAATTTCTTAAGATTTCATAACACAATTAGGTTTTTTTTTGAACAGATTATCCATCTTGAAAACATAGAACTGTACAGCACAGGAACGGCCCACCATGTTGTGCCGAACATGAAGCCAAATTAAATTAATCCCTTCTGTCTGTCCTTGGTCCATATCCCATTCATGTGCTTATCCAAAAATTCCTTAAATGCCCTATTGTATCTGCCTGTACTACCACCCCTGGCAGTGCACCCCAGAGTCCTGCCATTCTCTGCATAAAATAACCTGCCCTTCACGTCTCCTTTGAACTTTCTCCTTCTTACCTTAAATGCATGCCCCCTAGCATTAGGCATTTAAACCCTGGGGAATAAACAGACAGACAGTCAACCCTATCTAAGCATCATAATTTTATGGACTTATATTGTCTTCCCTCAGCCACCGCTGCTCCAGAGACAACAACCCGAGTTTTTCTATCCTGTCCTTCCCTCTAATCCAGGCAGCACTCTGGTAAAGAGATAGTAGGAACTGCAGATGCTGGAGAATCTGAGAAGGGTCTCTGAAGAAGGGTCTAGGCCCGAAACGTCAGCCTTCCTGCTCCTCTGATGCTGCTTGGCCTGCTGTGTTCATCCAGTTCTACACCTTGTTATCTCAGCACTCTGGTAAACCTCTTTTGTACCCTCTCCAAAGCCTCCACATCCTTCCTGCAATGTGGCGACCAGAATTGAATGCAACTTTGGCCTAACCAAAGTCTTATAAAGCTGCAACATGACATCCTGACTTTTGTACTCAATTTCCTGACCAATAAAGGCAAGCATACCATTCGCGTTCTTTACCACCTGATCTACTTGTGTGGCCACTTGCCAAGAGCTATTGACTTGAATCCCAAGATCCTTCTGTGCATAATGCTGTTCAGGGTCCTGACATTAACTGTATTCTTTTCCTTAACATTTGATCACCCAAAGTGCAGCATCTCACACTTATCCAGATGAAACTCCATCTGCCATTTCTCCACCCATGTCTGCAACCAATCTATATCCTACTGTGTCCCTTCACAACCTTCTATACTATCCACAACTCCACTGATCTTTGTGTCATTTGCAAACTTACTAACCCACTTGCCTACATTTTCATCCAAGTCATTTATATACATCACAAACAGTAGAGGGCCCAGTACGGATCCCTGCAGAAAACCACTAGTCACGGACCTCCACTACCACTCTTTATCTTCTATGGGAAAGCCAAGTTAGAGAATTAGAATTAGAATGTCCTTTATTGTCATGTGTATTCAAGTACAGGAGTACAGTGAAAAGTTTCACAACGTCACCTCTTATGGTGCCATTTAAGGTCTGACCACACGTGCCAGACCCCAGTCCAACAGCCGTCCCCGTTCCGCAGCAAGCCTCCAGTCCAGTCTACACCGGCTCTCGGCAGTAGCTGCAAGGTAAGTTTACTCCAGGACTCGCTTCCCTGCGCCAGCCCCCGCTGCAGGGCTATCTGCTTGATTTTTATGATTCCAACTGGTGCTACCACTGGACAAGTCAGATTTCAGAATGAAACCTGTTAGATTTTTGTTTCCATTTTAGTTAACTGGTGGTAAGTCATTGAAACAAGTTACATGAGGGTGCAGAGCTTCTTTAACAACAAACTTAAGTTTATTACACAAAAGGTGAAAATAAAAAAAAATACAAACCAAGCTTCTAGAATAGGTAACAAAAGAATCTCAAAAAAGTTTCAACCTATTTTCCAACACCATTGCTTCACAGCAACTAAAATCCACAGATATTACACCTTTATTCCAAATTTTTAAGTTCAGGTTAACTGATTATCCCCAATTTCTGTCCAGTGAACCATGGGGTCTTCATACATTACTCACAAAACTGACAGCTCATACTTTCTCTGTTTCAAATAACCTGCAGATTACTAATCAAACATTTCTATTTGGAATTTGGACATACTAAAGTTTTCTACTGAGGTAACTCCTCCTGAACTTCTCTGAAAGACCCCTTACTAGTAGAGAGGCAAAACTTGCTTCTGACCTCAGTGAGCTCTCCTCTGAGCTGCTCTAAAAATTTTCAAACTTTTTTGAGGGAAAAAAAAACAATCCTCAATTATTCTGAACCAAAGACAAGCTAATGGCCTTCAACGTTCAACCAGACATAAACAATATTTTCCTGGCAAGGTGGCAGAATAGAACACCCCAAACAGAGCTCCTC